GGAGGCACCACAGACAGCTCTAAGCAACACAGTTGCCCCCTCCTTTCTGACCTCTCTGAGATTTGCTATGTGAATCTCAATCTCCTGGTATGTCCCTCTCTACGGGGGCTGGACAAACTTCTTTCTCTCCTTCTCTCACTTAGTCTCTCTTCTAATTGGCCTAAGTGTCGAAGTCTCCTCCTTAGCAGGGCACTCTCCATGGCAACCAACTCCCCTTCCTGATTTCCAGGAACTTGCTCAAAAAATCAGAGTCAGGTGGCGGGGCGGGGGGGTGTTTGTGCCATGGGCACCAAGCATAAATCTTCCTGCTCTAAAGCCTGACCCTCGCTGGGGGCTTCTGGCCCTCTTTCACATGCTAACGCCTCCTCTGAGTCGTTAGGCATGACAAAATGGGCAGTCAACTTTGCAGCCAATCCCCAGAAGGAAGAGGGGAAGGTGGGTTAAGGAAGAGAGGAGAGGTTCGCTCGTCCCATCAACGCTGACGTTTGTCGGAGTCGGGGCGATGCCAGTTCTGCTGGAAGCGTTGTTGTTGCTTCTGACGCTGTTGGTGGGGCTGGAACTGCTGATGGCCCACAAATTGCAAGTAGGGCTGGTATCTATAGGACGGACGAGACCAAGACCACTTACGGCGCAATTGATCAGGGACTTCCATCCGGCGAGCTATAACCCTTGACTCGTGGATAGTCTTCATCTTGTGGTCCGTCCAAGCATTGAAGAGCCCTGAACCATCAAAGGGCATGTCTTCAATCCGGCGTTTCATCTCGTCCGGGAAGTTGCAATTCCGGAGCCAGGCATGGCGATGGAGGGCTACGGCACCAAGAGCTCTAGAGTCGGAGTTGACATGGTGTCTTGCCGTGCAAAGCTGCTGGACTGCCACCTGCATAAACTCTTTAATACAAATTGTATTAATGAAGATTTTAGCCAGGTCTTTTTGTTGGTCTGGAAGTGAGGCAGTGATATTTTCTAACTTTTGCATTAGAAAATATTGGTATCGAGCCAGTGTGACCTCATAATTAGAAATATGGAGGCCAAGACCTGTAGCGGCATAGATCCAGTGAGCCAACATGTTGATCTTATGGCCCTCTTTGTCGCAGGGAGTAGTGTGTCCCCTCAACTTATGTCCTTGAGAAGACTCAACAACGATTGAGTTCGGTCTTGGGTGACGCAGGAGGAATGGAATATCCTGCTCATGGACTCAATACATGGACAAGTGGGTTGAGGCTGATTAGGGTAGTTCCACGGTTCCATCATTGCCTGGTGAAGAGTGGTAAAATGATGGCAGCAGACTGTTCACCCTTGACAATGTTGTAGAACTTGTTGGTATTGGGATCGAAGCGGTGCTGGGCCTTGATCTCAAGTGACCTCATAAGCCTCGCCATCAGTTCTCCAAAGGTTACATAAGGTTCCTCCGGTGAGCTGGGATCCTGTGTAGAGATCACTGCCTCTGGCGAAGTAGATGCCACTTCGGAGTCCGAATTGTAGTGAGGTGGGGGACTAGAAAAAGAATAAGTAGGCGAAGTGGGACGCCTGGACTGAGCTGCCCTCTTCGCAATTGCTTCTGGTTTTAACCACCCTAAAAAGTTTAGTGTCACCAGCAAACCTGGCCACTTCACTAATTATTCATAATTCCAGATAATTTAGGAAAAGGTTGAAAAGCACTTGTTCTCATTCAGAATCCTGCGGGACTCCACTGGTGACATCTCTCACCTGGGAGAAATTGGCATTTATTTCCACTTTCTGTCTTCTGTTGTTTACCCAGTTAATGATCCATAAGATGACCCCCCCCCCCCCGCACCTTTTGTTCCATTACTGCTTAGTTTGCTCAGGAGTCTTTGTTCAGGGACTTTGTCAAAAGCCTTTTGAAAGTCCAAGTAAACAATGTCTACTGGATCACCCAGCCTTTGAGCTTATTGACAGTCTCAAAAAAGCTCCAATAGGTTATTGAGACAAGACTTTCCCTTGTCAGGGCTTGTCCCTCTATGTGCTTACTGATTCTATCTTTATTTATGCTTTCAAGCAGTTTACCTACAACATATATTAATTGGCCTGCAATTTCCTGAATCCCCTCTGCATCCATTTTTTAAAAGGGGTGTTGGATTGGCCATTCTCCAATCCTCTGGTACAAGGGCTAATCTTAGGGACATATTAAATACTTGGGTAAAAAGGTCAGTGATTTAATGTGTGAGTTCTTTGGTAACTCTAGGATGGATACCATATGGACCAGATGGCTTGCTGACTTTCAGTTTGTCAATACTTTTTGGATATTGTTACGTGTTTTATTGATTGTTCTTATTGTTATATTGCATTTATTTTATTGTAAGCAGCTTAGAGAGCCCTTGGACTGATAAAGAGGAATATAAGTTTAATAATAAATACATGTGGTAAAAAATCATTTTTTGTCACTGCTATTTGCCCTAATTCCTCAGACCTATTTATTCCTAATTCCTAATTTCAGAATGCATAAACTCAGGGACAGGTGTCTGCTTCTCATCCTCTGCTGGGAAGACTGATGAAAAGAATTCATTCAGCTTCTCTGCCAGCTCTTTGTCCATGCTTAGTGCTCCTTTAATTCCATTATCATCCAATGGCTCAACTGCTTCCTTAGCCACTTTCTTTATTTTGATATACAGTATTTAAAGAATTTTTCATTGATAGGCTTGATATGGTTAATGATGTGCTTTGAGGTAGAGAAAGGGTAGCATGTGAGAAAAGCATTGGGGGGGGCAGTGGGGAAGCAGGTAAGGGGGCATGGAAAGGACACAGAGAGGATTGGGAGGCCTGAGGAAGCTAGCTGCACACTGGGAGTGCTGAGGAAACCAGCACGCTTTGGTGGGAAGGCGCTGTAGATGGCAGCACAAGGGTAGAGTAGGCCACTGATGAGTTGGAGGGGGTTGAGAAAATCAGTGGAAAATAGCTGAGGACTGACCTTGGGAATGGGGAAGAGGGAGGGATGAGTTGGTATGTTGGATGAATGGGATGAGTGGTAGCAGGGTTGTGAATAAATTATGGATCCACCAGCCCATGAACCTGATCTGGCCTGCAGCGGTTTTTAACACATCTGTTAGAGATGTGTAGTGTTGCATCAATTAAATTTTGATCCATTTCCAAATTCTGAATGGACTCTATAGGGAAGCCTGGATTTAAAAATTAGTAAGAAAACATTTTTGTGGGGGACTTTAACAAATACATTAATTTTTTACCTTGGACCAACTAGTGTCAACAGATTGTGTGTTTTTGTCCTCCTTGGCTTTGAGTACAATTTGTCAATTGTACAATACAATTTGTGTGCTACGTCTGAATGGCAGTCCTTGCAATTGCAACCTTAGTTAGAATCTAGGTTGGGGTTTCCTTTGCCAACGGAATTGTAATTTGCTAATGTAACTGTAATTCATCCATTAGCATTAGGGTTTCCTTTGCTGTTGGAAGTGCTTATTGAGACTGATCAGTGATATTAACCAATGATCCATGTTCACATATATCAGTGAATAATATGACTATCTCTTAAGCAGGAGTAGGATTGTCCCATTTTCCATAATGCTGCTTTAGTGTTTGTATCTGCAGCATCTATGGATCTCAGGTTATACAATATTCAGGAGAAACTCTTGTTCTGTGTCTATTGGACTCTACAAATTAATAGTGTTTGTCTAAGTCAGCTAATATCTGCAGGTGTTACACAGCTAATGTTTCTTTCACCCATCTGTTTTGGCAAATTATATAGATAAACCTTACATAGGAGCACTTTTTAATATTTAATGATGTTATCTACCTGCTTCTTGAAAGTTAATGCTTGGCCAACTCAAGTGAATTCTCCATGCCCTTTGACAGCTAAAAGACTGATATGGCAACATTGCAATGAGAACTCCTAACCTTTAGTTAATGGACCAAGAACATAACAGTGCCTTCATCATTTGACCAAGTGCTATATAGTATATAGGTACCACTTACAGATGGATCTGTGTGGTTATTTGGTTGACATATATGTATAATTCTTAGAAAGTCAAATTGTTTTGTGTGTGTGTGTGTGTGTGTGTGTGTGTGTGTGTGTGTGTGTGAGGGGAGTATAAAATCCATATGCATGCACTGAAACAGATATGTTCAAATTTATGTAGCTACATTTTTTTCTTTTTTGTTTTAATTTCATAATTTTAAAAAAGGATAAAAAAAGATCCTCCACATCTGGCCTACAGAGTCTCTTTGGGTTCTAAAGCCCAAACCCAAGCTGCTTTAACCATTCATTACATGGAAGCATCTTGGGTTGGGCATAGAACCCAAACAGAAGATGTTCTGGTTTGGAGAGGATATTCCAGTTTTTGATTGCATTTTTCAAACTCTATGGTATACTTTGTCAGATGAGATGCCCAGAGCCACCTGTACACAGAATTGCGAAAGTGACCATCCTATATTAAATAAGGGCATGGGTGATACTTTCCATATACTAGCCAGCTGCTTAATGACGATTTCCATCAAGTTGGGGGAAATAGTAAGACAGTGGGATTGTAATTTTTTGGCTTGTAATTCTTTTCTTTTCAAGAAAAATAAACAGTGTCATATTGGCTACTTTATTGTCAGTTGCATCTTCAGTAAATAGCTGCCTTTAGTGGCATTGCCTATTTTTGTCAGAAAGCCATTGTCACATCAGAACTCTTTATGAACCCTGAAGATATATGTCATGTGAACCCAATGACTTATTAAGTTGTAATTTGATCATTAGCCTCTGTTCAGTGTGTGCTAAAATGCTATGTGTGCTTACTTGGAAATAAGGTGTGTCGTGGGGGCAGCTCCTCAGTAAGTGTGTGCAGGGTTGTAGCTTGAGTTCTTCTAAAATAAATAATTGAGGTAGGAGCATATAAATTTGTAGAACTATGATTTAGGAAATTTCAGTTTCATGGGCAGGACTGTAATCTTCTGAGAAAAATATTTCTAGATCAATTCAATACCCCTCCATAAGTGTTTGGAAGACTGCAGTGAGAATGTTTCAAATAAGATAAGAAGGGGCTTACTTTAACCTTATTTTCAATTTCCTTGTGTTCCTGAAGTAATTCTTCATTTTCTTTTAAAGTTGACCCAAAGTTGTGCTTATGGAAATAATCTTTTATATTCTTCTTGTACCAAGAGGTTACCTGAAAATAAAAATAGTATTTTTGATGAATGAAAATAATGGGCAGCATCCAATGTTGTGTGACTAGCCTTGCATGTGTGTAACAAAACTTACAATTCCCTAATTTTCCCTTGCCCCCCCAATCCCCCCCCCCCCCCCGGCACAAACAGAACCCTAAAATCAGCTTTGGAGGGTTACCCAAGCCTCCAGAAAATATTTGGGAGGTAACACAGAAGCTGTGGGTACAAAGGGACTCTAGTCTGTTGACTGAGCTGACAGAATTGCAATTCACCTAGAGATATAGGCCAGGTCCTCATGGTCGCTACAGCAGTGTTTGAATGTTTCAACTGTGATTGTAGCTTGTTATGTCATCTGAACTTAGGAAGGGTGGGTTGCTGCCATCATTAACAAGCCACCCAGAACCTATGGGCTATTTTAGGGTTGGGATTGGATTGCTAAGCATACCAGTTTGACTCCTTTGCCAAGTTAGATAACATGACAAATGCCCAGCACCCACACTGCTGTCTGCTGTGGTTTAAATATTTATTTTATTTATTATAAATAAACCATGACAGATTGCTTGATCATGCCAACTGGTCAAGAGTAAAGCAGGTAACAACCCAGGCTGAACATAAGAACCATGCTGAATCATGTCCAAGGCGCATGTAGTCTGCATTCTGTTCACGTACTGGCTAGCCAGCTGTCTAGAGGAAGCTCACAAGCTGGGCATCATTCACAGGCGACCTCCCACTCTAATTTAGACAACAAGCTGTTTGCTGTATTTTAAGTATGCAATTTCCCATTACAGTCCTATGCATATTAACATCATTTATTTATTATTTCCGATTTATATCATGCCTTTTTCCTACAAAGGGCTCAAGGCAGCTTATATCTCCTCCTCCATCTTATCCCCACAACAACAACCCTGTGAGGTAGGTTGGGCTGAGAGTCTGTGACTGGTCCAGAGTCACCCAGTTGGCTCCATGGCTGAGTGGGGACTCAAACCCAGATCGTCTGAGTCCCAGTCCCATGCTCTTAACCGCCACACCACACTGGCTCTCATAGAGTCAACTCAATTGAAACAAAGCGGAATTTCTGGGAAAAGATTATTTTCCTTGTATTTAAAAAAAACACATATTCCACTTTCTTTCTAAAAAAAAGAAATTCAGGGCAGCTAACAAAACCAATTATATGTTAAAAGAATGTATCAATCTCTTCTCCTGTTACAAGACGTTTTGGCTATTGACTGATATAGAAAGGTAATCAACAAACAAAATAACAATCAAAATAATTTAAGCACCCCATATTTAACATAGTAAACCAAGAACTCCCAAACTGTTTCAGTCACTTGGCATATTTGGAATTTTGGAGTCACAAAATGGCTATCATGAAGTGTGTGCCCATTCACAAAATGGTTGTGGTGAGCATGAGCAATCATGTAAGGCTTATTTAACTGAACATGCAAACTGATGAGCCCCAAAAGTAATACAACCAACCAGCAGCAGCAATAGGACAAACCCTATGCCCTTTCAGAAAGGGGTAAGACTGACTGAACTTTGTGGAGCCTTCTCCTAAGTAACCTGCATTATGCTCACTCATCCAGGCCATGATTTGTCATTTGCAGAACTGTAGTATAGTTTTTCCCTTTTACATGCCCTTTTAAATGACAGCATTTGTTTCAGCTTCTGACAAGCTCTGTGTCTGTAATACCCTGCTGTGAGACATGTCTAGCCTCCAGTTCCACCTCCACTCCATGGATTGGTAGACAAGGGCTCCCATCGGCCCAAACTGTCGAGTTCTCCTCTTCTCCTATCTCACCATTCCCACAAGTGGATCAGCCCAGGCTCTCATCAGCCCAAAATGTTAACTCCTCCCTTCTATCTACCCAGGTGTTCCTGACCATGGTCTACCACTTGGACATGCTTCAATTCCTCACTATTTGAGCTTGAGTTCCCATCAAACTGGGCAGCTGCTTGTGTACACACGGGCACCCTTGCACAGTGTGTGCACCTGACACCCAAACTCAGACAGTGGTCTCTATGGGCTTACTCCAAGTATCCAGGAATCTGGAGCTCCCAGCTGCTACAGCTATATGCACAGATCTTATAATGAACGCCTGGAGGTTAGACGTATATGAACCTGCTCCATAAATTCATGTGCTGCCTGAACAAGGCTGTGAAGGACATGGAAGGACATGGAACTTAGGCTAAAAAAGTGTCATTTTAACTGTCCATTAAATAATATAGAAATATTAATATTAAAAATGTTCATCAAATAATTACCCACACACAGGCTACACTCAAGCATAGAGGTATGCATTCATGACCTCTATTACTTTCAGTGGGACTTTTAGTGGATACACTACACTGGATTGAAGAAATCTCTCTTCTGTAGATTCCAGACTAAATGATAATGTTCCTCTAAGAATATTCTGAAAGTAAACAAAAATGCTTCCAACAAATTTGGCAAATTACCTAAGGAGTTCAGCATAGCCAGGGATATAAAGAGATAATTAATGTAATTAAATTTTGATTTGATGTCACACCACAAAGCTGCTTTCTAACTGCTTCCAATTTATTCATTTTGATGTTGTTCCACATTCAGTGCCTGATTTTATTTTTAAATGTTGGTAGTGGAGAAATGGATACATACACAGATTCATCTATTTATTATAAAGCTCAGCATTTCTAGAGAATTGCACAACTAAGAATTTAGTGGTTCAGTTCAGACATAATACCAAACTTTGGTGACTGTGAAAAAGAATGATAAAAAGCAAGCCTTGAGTTTGCACATTTCCTCTTTACCTTTCCTCTTTTGAGTATGAAGAGGGAATTAGATACTTCCTCTTAATTTTTAGCAGAACAATTAGTTATTCTGCCCATGGGTTTGCCCAAACTGGTTGCCCTAAATTCAGGATACAGGATTAAAAGTCATGGTTTATAATCCTGCTTTGAGGGCCAACCATAGTTTCCAGCTAAACAGAAGCTGGAGTATCAAGTCTCCTCCCCTTGTGCATTAAAGAATGGGAATGAAAAGGTGCAGCACATGAGCCTGAGGCCTGCCACAGCTCATTCCTGGATCAGCAAACATTTACTTGTAGTCAATGTCTCCAATGCGCAGTGGGGTAGATGCTATTTTTACTGAGAAAAGATAGCAATGGGTCAGAGAGGTCACACACAAATCTAGTGTCGAATAGACTTCACTCTAAGTCTGGGAAACTAAATGGAACATGTTGGCCCACCTTGCAGTTCCCGGACTCCAATTCATGGAGGTTAGGAGAAAATATCTTGAAGTCAGCTTTGGATTTAAGCTGTAGTCTAGTAACCAGGGATGGACAACTTGTGCTCATCCAGATCTTTTGTCTCATTAGCCTACATTGCCCAATTCTCCATGGCATACAGTGGTAACTCAGCTCATGAATGCCTCAGTTCACGACCAAATCGGGTCACGAACAAAAATTTTATTAAAAAATTTGACGCAGGTCGCGAACTCTGCGTTAGGTGGCAACTGTGATCACAGCCATCTCCCCACCCCACCCCAAGTGGGGAGATGGCTGCGATCGTGCTGGGGGCAGGGGGGAGATGGCCGAGATCATGCCCGCCTTTCCTGATTGAGTGCGCCCGTGATTGCGCCCGTCTTTCCTGCACAAGCACAGCCGCAATCTCGGCCATCTCCCCCTGCAGCAGCCCACATTCGCGCCCGTCTCTCCCCCCCCCCGATGCGCCCGTGTTCAAGCCCATCTCCCCCCCCCAGGCGCACCGGGATGACGGGCATGTGCAGGAATGACAGACACGATTGTGGTCGTACTGGGGGGCGGGGGCGGAGATGGCCGCATTCTTTGTTGTTCTTTGTCACTTTGATTCACATTTTTCTGATTTAAAAAATAGTTATGGAATGGATTAACCTTATTTCCATTGAACCTTATGGGGAAATTTGACTTTGCTCATGACCAATTTGGGTCACGACCTGAGTCCTGGAACGGATTAAGTTCGTGAGCCAAGGCGCCACTGTATTTTCTATCCCACTACTGCCCCCTCTCACCAGTACTGCTACTTCTGTTCCTGCATTGGACAATCCAGCTGAATGGGCTTCTTATTTGTAGCAAATGCTTATTTTTCAAGGCCCAAATAACTCTCTGCCAACATAAGTCAGAGTTCTACAAACTATTCATTTCCCACTTCTACAATCCAAGCTAATTAGAATCAAATTGATCCAATCTATGCCCCATCTAACAATATTCAAAGCGATTGTTTCTCTCTGTCCCCCTTCAAAGTGTCACCGAGCAAATGCTATATAAGACTTTAATGGTAGCAAAACAAAGCTTCACTTCTGCTCAGAGGCACTGTAGCCTCACAGAGGCCACACAAAGTAAACATCACATAACAACAACAGTTATATAGAGGGTATTTCTTCACAAGTTGTGAAAGTTGCTGCTCTAGGTGATCACAAAGTACATTCTGTCTCTTTCCTGCACCTGCCATAGAAACCAGTGAGCTGTTAGCATAGAAAAGCCTTCACATCCATATCCCAGCATGGAAATGCAGCTCTCTGTCCCTCCACTGCCACATACCCTGGCATGCCAGTAAAGACCTTTGCAGGCTTATTTACATGGCAGCCTTGAAATAAAGGACTGGTGATGGGCTCAAATGAGCTAGGGCTTTACATAAGGCAGGGTTCTTTTTGAAGATAAAAGTGTTGGTCCAAGGAACTAAGAAGACAGACCCAAAAACCTGATGGCAGTGCTTTTTTGTGTATGGTCAGGGAACCACCTATACAGAAGTCTGTGTACATATATCAGAGCAGCATGGGCTCTCACTAAATTATTTTTTTCCAGAATGCAGACCAAAGATCAAGGGTAAGGAACTTTCAAAATGTGTAACCTTATTAAAATAAAAATCTATCCTTTCAGCTACTTGGCAATATATGTCTTTATTGCCACATTTTGGCAACCCTTGAAGTTAATGAATTGTGAATGGCGGTGCCCACATCTCTGTAGGATAACAGAAAACTTACAGCAGAACA